ATTGTTTTAAGTTGCAAAATAATTTGTATCATATATACCATGTATGTAAAAAAAAAAAAAAAGAATAGCAAGATTGCAGATCCAAACTTGACTAATTACTTGGTTGTCCAGGTAATTTCTCAGAGTAGTACTGTGATTATCAACATAAAATAAGTAAATTTACACTCATTATAGACTCAACCATACTTCTTTTTTATTCTCTCTAGGTCTTTAATGCTCCTAAACATGCAATAACATCAACTTCCTCCCCCTCCATAAAAAATGGTTATTGCTTTTCCTTATTCTATTTTTAAACCTGATTCCCCGATAAGAGATCTTGTTTGGTTAATAAAATACATTGCCAGCATTTTTGCTTGAAAATTTTGCTGGGATCTACTGTAGTCTCAAATCAGAAAGCAGCAAAATGGAAGGAAAAAAAAGACAAAATGAAAGGCAATAGGGCATTATTCTTCAGGCTATGGGGAACACGGTGAAAACAAAACAAAACAGCCTATACTATAGGTGAAATTATAAGAATTTTGCCAGTGTTGTGCAAGTCTTGAGAAATATTTGATGGGGAAAGTGGGGTGAGGGGTATACTGGGGCAAGATGACTAGCGCCTTGCTCCAGTGTCTTTTACTACGGGAGCTTCGCCACTTCGCCTGTCTCTCATCTAGCATACTTTCAGACCCCAGCCCGTCCAAATGTAGACACTGATTCCTCAGTGACTTCCTTATTTGCCATGTCTGCAGTACTTTATTTATTTGAACTCTCTGTCTAAACGGCACAGCATGTAACATGATTATATTGTTACTTGAATATACTGAGGGTGTAGAGCTCTAGTGGTAAAAACTTAAAACGTCTTTGGTGTAAAAGCCACAGCATTCCGAGAAAGTTTTCCCATTGCATAGTTCTGTTTTCTCTTATAACACCAGAGCCTTTAAGCTGCTGGGTCTGGGAATGAAAGAAAAACCAGTCCTCTCTCCTTTTTTCGTACCACTGACACAATCAAATAACATCATGTAATTTTTATGGACTTTTGAGATTTTTTAACACTTATTCTGTCACACACACACACACACACACACACACACACACATACACCCTTCCAAATATTTGATGAGCCATTTTGCTACCATCAGCACTGGCCTTCCTGCAGTAAGATTGATCATATCTTTCGCCAGGTATTCTCCAAGAGATGAGCGAAGGTAGTTAGCAGAAACAAAGCATAGTACTCCATAGTAAACCTGCTTACACCCAGCATGGGTGGGAAAATCATGGATTCTGGCCAATCAAAAATGTTATTTAATAGAGGTGCCTTACCTATCATTTGTGAGTTACCAGTTCTTAGAAGAATAGATGGCAGTAAAGTGGTTAAATCTCTAATAAACATAGTTTAATCATTCTCAGATGATTCCGAGGGACTTGGAGTCCTGCTCTGCCCCAAGTCTCCTGGGAGCAGTAGCAGAATACCCCTGGGCTGCTTACTGCTGGCATTTGCTGAAGGTTCCCGGAAGGAACAAAGGGACTGGTACACTTTTATTACAATCTGGTGGGCGGTTAGGTATGATTTTTACTAGTCAGCCGCATTTCAAATATGTTTGAATCCGGTGTGCAGAGAATTAGAAATGTTAACATTTTGTTTTTACCTGAGTTTAAAGCAGAGGTTGTGCTAACATTTGATATATTATGGATGCTGTGTACTCACCTGTTCTTTGGACAAATTCTGCTTGTGGTGAAATTAGCACTCATTTACATTGCTGGTGTTGTATACCTTTCTGAAGGGCCATTTGCCAATGTGTGTCAGAAGCCTTTTAGGTGAGGATACTCTTAAACTCAGAAATGCTGACTTCTGAGAATTTTTCCTAGATAAATAGTTGAACACATGATAAAAGTATATCTATAATGATGCCCTTTGCAGCCTCATTTATAAGAACATAAAGTTGAAAAAATCTTAACTGTCCATCTACAGAAAATAGGTTACATTATAGTACATCCATATAATTACTATGTAGATCTATACACAGAATACTGTGTTGCTGTTGAAAATTAGATTTTGCTAATGTGTTAAAAATAGTCATAAATAAAGTGTTTAGGAAATGATATGTATAACACAGTCCCAGTTGGTTAAAAACAAAAGTATCTGTGCATGCATAACAAGATGTCTGGTAAAATATATCAGATGTTAGTCTTGTCCATATCTGAGTGGTATGATTAGGGAGCTGATTTTCACTTTCTCTTTTACGCATCTGGTAATGTCTGGTTTAAGCAAATAAGAAATGTATGTTACTTTCAGAATCAGAAAAAATTAAACGATTGAGTTGTTTTTCGTTTTGAAAGAAAAGTAATAAGCTTGTGGGAGTTGCGTGAAGGGTAAGCTGCTGTGGGTGAGGCCGAAAAGCTGAGCAACTTACGGAGCTCATGGAGGAGTCTCAGAGTCGAAGAATTTCCACACATACCAAGTCATTTGGCAGGGACAGAATTTCACTTGTAAAAGTCAAGTGGTATGTGAATGAGCCAGCAACTGGGCATGTTGTGATTCAAAATACCAGGAAAGTATTTTGGCTCCTTGTTTGTTTTGAACTTTGAAAACAACTTTAATATGTTTCTTTATTAGTAGTAATAAAAGGTTCTTAAAAATCTAGCTCTAATAATTGTGTATCCTAGGCAAGGAGCTACCAATGAAGAATACCAAACAAGAAGAGTTACAAGAGACAGAGGAGTGGAGTGGTCTGGTTGTCAGGCCACCCCTCTGAGGAGAAATCCAAGATGAAGGAAGGTTGAGTGTGACCTGGCCTAGATAGATGGCAGATCTAGTTGGGTAGGTGGGAGGTTGAAGGCAGTAACTTCTCAAATTGTATAGTGGGCAGTTGAGGGTTTCACGTGAGATTCCATTTAGGGGAAGGTGGGGGAGTTGTTTTTAGCATAGGATGTCCAAGATGGAGCTTTTAGGTCTCTTGCTTGTTTTGGTAAAGAAAGGCCCCCAAGTAGTAGCCAAGACCTCACGGCTGATCCAGAGATGTAGAAGAACGAATTAAGCCTTTCTGTTTGATTAGCTTGGGAAGCAGTCATTAAGGTCTCATTCTCCCTGCTGTGGTTAAAGCTGTCTACTGAGAAATAAGCCAAAGGAATATTAGGCCAAGAATCTGAAGACTAAAGCCAAACCACTGGGAAGGGCTTTTGACTGCAAACTACAATGTGATTGAATTAGAAAGGAACATTTGATTCATATCATGCTGTCACCTCAAATTCAACAAGTCTAAAATTGAACTCATCTTTCCTCACAAAGCCGCTCCTCAACTGAACTTTGGTAATAACAACAAAATATTGCACTGTAAAATGCCTTACCATAACATATCCGGGATTTCATTTGATTGTCACACACTTACAGGCAAGGGACTTTAACTCAGGTTAAAAGGCTGGGCTGCCAGCTAGTAAGAGAGCAGTTCTAGAAACCAGGTTTACTGAGTCCTAACCTAGTCCTCCTTTAATGACATCACACCATCCTTCTCTCCATATCTGTAGAAATAAACCAGTGAGTTTCACAGAATTACTATGACATTTTATTTATATTGGCAGTTGAGTATTGCCCACTAGCAGATTTTAGTAAGTATGAAGTCAGGTTTTCTAAAGCAACAAAGAGCAAACCAACAACCTTTGGAATTGTTAATCTTGTTTTTTATAGGTGAAAAACATTCATAGCATTCGTATTCTTGAAGTCAAAGATAGAAACAGATGAAATAAAGTGCCAGATCTAAGCCTGAAGATGTCTCATTTGTAATCTAACATAAGCAAACCATCATCAGTTATAGTGGGTTCCTATTGTTAGTACAAAGTATATGGTTCTGCTGTTTTATTTTCTTTCCTTTGTAAATTATTTTAGGTTTGTCATTATATAAGAATTATAAGCATGAAATCTTTATATGTCTGGATTTCTATTTGTAGATGTGTAAGTAACACCGTAAGAAAAGCACTTTAACTCCCCAATGTAAAAAGCAGCCCACTGCGCAATGCAGCTCCATCCCAACCCATGGCCCCAGGCCAGCCAGCCTAGCCATGCCTCCTTGGCACTCTGTATCTCCGTATGCATTTCTCCTTCACAAGGAACCAGGGTAACCATGCAGGTCATTTTCTCTTGAGTTTGGACATCTGTAGTCCCCCAGCTCCAAGTCTTTATTTGGGAATAAGTATTAATTGAAATGTATGTAATGTAGTGACAGTGATTGTATAATTTTCCTAAAGAGGTATTTGCTTCAGACAAACTACAAAAGCTGAATAACACATATGTGTGCAGAGCCCTCTGTGCCTCCTCTCCCTACCTCAGCTGTTGGGTTTCTATCTATGTATACACCTGGGGGCTACCATGATGGGCCCAACATGTGGGTGGTAGAATCCTAACGCATGTTTTTTAGAGCAAAGGAGGGGGCTTTACAGGGAGCCACACTGACTTGGAAGCCCTCCTATCAGTTGTCAATAACACCTTCCCTCTCCAGTGGAAAGGAACTGAAAGGAAAAAATAAAATCCAAGCCAAGAGCGTATCCTACTCTCCATTTTAAGTAGCAGTTTGGGCTTATTAATGCCAAAATCCTGGCTTGATAACTTGATTCTTTTTTGTCCTTTGTGACAGTGTACACAAATAATCTATACGACATGCTGAATCTTTTAAATAAGTGTTTTGATTATTTTTTGATTCAGTGCTTTGGATTTCTGCTTCTAAATCTTATTAACATGCTAATAAGCAGCTTAGTAAAGAAATCTATACTAACCCACAGCCTGCTTTTGTGCATTTTTTTTTTTTTAGGTTAAGCTATTATTTGATCATTGTAAATTGTCCCGTGTAGCTATTAGACTCATGCTTTTCAGATACTTAAAAGTTTGCAAACTATTCAGATCAAGTCTCTACACAATGGAACAATCCATTTAGAACTGTCTGGTTCAGTCGGTGGTCGAGCTCAGGAAAGAACCTGGTGAAGATCGTTGGCAGCTGGTAGCTCAAGAGGTTGTCTTTGTGATGTCGCAGGATCGCCTACCAGCGGAACGATGATGATGAGGAAGAGGCCGCCCGCGAACGGCGCCGCCGCGCCCGGCAGGAGAGGCTGCGGCAGAAGCAGGAGGAAGAATCCCTGGGGCAGGTGACTGACCAGGTGGAGGTGAATGCCCAGAACAGGTACTGTCCTTTTTGGAATGGAGAATTTCTAAGTCACTTCTTAGCCTGTCTGATGAATGGAATGTGTTGGGCAAAGCATTCCCTTCTCAGCCCAGCTCAACTCATTCTCAGTCTAACTTGTTCAGTCATTTTTGTGGTCATTGTGGCACCTAAGAAGACTGGACAGTCAAACTGATTTAGGCATTCAGATACCACTACTCCTTTCCCTTCCCCTCTCCCATCCCCTACACACCCCCCAATTGAAGGTTTTATTTTATAGTCTAGTAATCTTTTTATTTACTAACTATGATGGGTTACATCTTTAAATAAGGAAAGCTATTTACACTCATTCTTTAGGGGGTATTGTCATCTGTTTTTTTTTTAAGATTTTATTTATTTATTTGACAGAGAGAGAGCACAAGGGGGCAGAATGGCAGGCAGAGGGAGAGGGAGAAGCATGCTTCCCACAGAGCAGGGAGCCCCATGCGGGGCTCGATCCCAGGACCCCAGGATCATGACCCGAGCCAAAGGCAGCCGCTTAACCGACTGAGCCACCCAGGCGTCCCTATTGTCATCTATTTTGAACTGAAGATTTATTAGCTTAATAGTCCTCTGTGCCTCCCAGTAGCAAATAATAGTTCAATTTTTAAAGTAGACATAAATTGCAAATGCCTTATTTTTCCTGATCTACAGCCTCAATCAGTATTCTCTGATCACTACGCTATTCAGCAAGGTACAGAATCTTGTTAATGTAATGTAATTATTCAAACAAGCTTGAGAGTTTACTAGCACATTTTTTCCTATGCAGGCCTTGGTAGTGATCAGGACAGTTGAAAGCTCTTAAGAGGTTCAGCTTCTTCAAAATGGGCTTTTATAAGTTCACACATATGAGGTCATATAGTTCATCATGCCACTTGGGAGTATATGTCATTTATATGCCCCAAGGTATAAAAAAGATGAGAATATTTGGGGGTGGGGATGGAGAAAAAAATTAATTTTTATTTACAATTATGGACTGAATAAATGTAATGCAACTACCACACAACATCTTGTGTATGGTTTTGGTTTTAGTCTATTTTATTTTGTGTGTGTTGGGAGGACATTGTTGATAGTTCCTTTAAGTCAGTCTAACAAGAAAATCTGAAGGAAAACAGTTCTGGCCTCTTTAACCTAAATATGAGTGGGTACACAGGTTTCTGAAAGTCTTGAAGATTCTGTCAGGTCGGATGAATTTAATAAGGAAATCTGTTGTTAGGTGGAGACGTAGAGACCTTGTTTCTTGATAAGTAGCTTCTAATTAGGGAGGAAGTATGGCAAAGAGGTTGTGGGTACGTTCTCTGGGGTTCATACTGGCTCTGAATTCCAACTTGACCTTTCCCTAACAGTGTTTCTTCAGTTAAATGGAAATGAAAATTGTACCTCTCTCTTAGGAATGTTGTTAAATTTAAATGAAATTATACTATATATGAAACCCATGGTGCCTTGCACATAATAAGCACCTACTTTTAACTATTATCAGGAAAATGTTATCAGAGCCTTACAGAAGAGGCCTGCATATAGTCATTCACTGTCTTTTCTATTTTTGAGTTGAACAGGAAGGGAAAGAAAAAGTTTTAAAATGGCATTCTGAGGCCTTTCCTGAATCTGGTTATTGACAGTGGCTTCAGAGTTACTAGTAGTATTCTTGCTTTTAAAATCTTGCTTCTACTTGGGTTTCTCTTCTTTTTTCACATTTATTAGTAGTAATTATTTCATTGTGTTGATTAATTCACGAATTCTTTTTCAGTAAAGCATATTCTTTTTTTTTTTTTTAAAGGTTTTATTTATTTGAGAGAGAAAGAGAGCACAAGGTGAGGGGGAGCAGAGGGAGAGAGGGAAGCAGACTCCCCGCTGAGCAGGGAGTCTGACTTGGGGCTCTATCCCAGGACCCTGGGATCATGACCTGAGCCAAAGACAGACACTTAACCCACTGAGCCACCCAGGCACTCCTTCAATAAAGCATATTCCGATCTGAGAATATGTAATTTATCTCTGAAATATTAATTATCCACAAGAAGAATTAGTGTTCTTCATGGGGCTGAACAACCCTAAATGGTACTCAACTCTACTGACAATTGTTGTTATGATTTATAAGTAGGCAGAGAAAGGTCCAGTAGAATCTGGTTTTTGTTGTTGTTTTTAGAGAAAGAGAGAGCTTGTGCACATGTGAGTGGTGGTGGGGGAAGGCTGCAGAGGGAGAGAGAGAGAATCATAAGCAGGCTCCATGCTCAGCACGGAACCCAAAGCAGGGCTCCATGTTACAACCCTGAGATCATGACCTGAGCCAAAATCAAGAGTCGGACACTTAACCGAGCCTGCCACCCAGATGCCCCTATCTGTTGGTTTCTTAACTCAAGAGTACTTTCATCTGGCTAACACTTTGGAATTTATGGTACCTTTTAAAAAGTATTTGAATTCGGGGCATCTGGGTGGCTCAGTCGTTAAGCATCTGCCTTCAGCTCAGGTCATGGTCCCAGGGTCCTGGGATCGAGTCCCACATTGGGCCCCCTGCTCGGCGGGAAGCCTGCTTCTCCCTCTCCCACTCCCCCTGCTTGTGTTCCCTCTCTCACTGTGTCTCTCTCTGTCAAATAAATAAATGAAATCTTTAAAAAAAATAAAAATAATTTGGGGGCGCCTGGGTGGCTCAGTTGGTTAAGCGACTGCCTTCGGCTCAGGTCATGATCCTGGAGTCCCTGGATCGAGTTCCGCATCGGGCTCCCTGCTCGGCGGGGAGCCTGCTTCTCCCTCTGACCCTCCCCACTCTCATGTGCTCTCTGTCTCTCTCATTCTCTCTGTCTCAGATAAATAAATAAAATCTTTAAAAAATAAAAATAATAAAAATAAAAATAATTTGAATTCAGTTGATCCAAATTCCTTATGTGTAGATGTTTCCCCTTAAATTCTAAGCTATTTGTATTTTTAGGGAAATTTAATACTTATATGTCTAATTCATGGAGACAGTGTCCTACAGCAAGAGTTAAAGCCAAGAAAGTGTAAAATCTAGCCTTTACTCTGCCATTTCTTATTATTAAATGTGAAATGTGTTTTTCCAAAATTAAGTGAACTCGAACTTCAAAAGGGCCCAGTTCAGTATGAACCATGAAATTTGATGGAGTTTCTAAACATTACAAGACATATTCTTCCAACTCTGGTCACAGTTTCATGACTGGTTGTTTCCTGCCAGTGGAGACCAATAGCCCTGGCTTTGAGCTGTAATAGTGAGTGAGGTGATAGATATGGTACAGTTTGATTTTTAGAGATTTTCTTTTCTTTTATAATAAGTATCAAATTTAACTATGCTTTGTCTACTATAGAGAAGGGCAAAAGACCCTTTTTTCATGGAAATCTTGACAAAGAATGCAGATGATGTATGTATTAGGGTAATGTCAACTGCTATAACAACAAGCCCCAAATTTTAGTAACTTAATGCAATAACACAAATGAGTCCAATGTGGGCATTTTTGAGTAGTAGATAGAACTGGTCACCTACTTTCTTTCCTCTTGTGACTCTGTCAACTCCTGGGGCTTTAAAGTTTTCTGATCTAGTCAACAGAGATAGAGATGGTAGAGAATGCACTTCTGTTTTGTAATTGTCTTGGTCTAGACACATCACGTCTGCTCACACTCAACTGGAAATTACTGGACACATGGCTCCACCTAGATGCAAGGTTGAGGGGAGGGTAGGAAATAGAATCCTTGACCGGCTGTGACTTCCCTGGGACTGTGGAGGGAGGAGCATGAATTGTGATGCACGGTTAGATGTCTGTACCATGGGGGTCACTGGTGTAAGTACAGCATCCCCACACTATGATGTACACTTGCTTCCTTTCCAAGTGTCCCACAGATCGAGCTCAGGAATTCTAGGTGACTTCGCGACAGGTGAAAATACTCTGTGATACTAGAGGAATTCACTCATTTCTCAGTTTGGTCCTTGTCTTAGTTTGAGTTGCCCAAGAAGCAGATTTGGAAACAAAAAAGATTTAAGCACAAGTATTCATTTGGGAACCTATCCCAGGAAACACCAGTCGCCCTGTGGGAAAGTGAACTGAGGAAGGGAGAGCAACCAAATAAAGGTTTCATGGCCACTGCTGGGATCCGGAGCTTACCTCCACCGGGAGACTCTGAGATCCAGTGCGACGCAGGCACGTCAGAGTTATCCGACTCAAAAGGTGAAGGGAGCCGGGGTATTTATACACGAATGCTCCTGCATTTTGTTTGACGGCTGCCCCCAGGCGCGTTGATCCTGAAAGCACTTTCGGCAGGTAGAGTAGACGCCGGTGGCCAGAGAAAGACCAAGGGCAGAGGCCTGCGTGTGCGGTCTGCTGAACACCAGGCAGGCCTGCGTGAGCAGGATAACGGGGGCGGGGGTCCCCTGGGCACGCACGCCACCGCGAGCCTCGGCCCCGGTGCGCATCAGGCTGCGCGGATCCCGCTGGCCCATTAATCAGCAGTCTGTCTTTGGTGTCGTTTCTGTTGTCCAGTGTGGCCGACGAGGAGGTCAAGACAAGCACCTCGCCCGCGCAGGTGGAGGGCGACGACGACGAGGCTGCGCTCCTGGAGCGCCTGGCTCGGCGGGAGGAGAGACGCCAGAAACGCCTTCAGGAAGCCCTGGAGCGGCAGAAGGAGTTCGACCCCACGGTCACGGACGCGGGCTTGCCACTTCCCAGCAGAAGGCTGCACAATAACGCCGCCGACAGCGAGGCCACCGAGAAGGAAGAAAAGAGCGAGCATGGCCAAGAAAGATACGAGATAGAGGAGACGGAAATCATCACCAAGTCCTATCAGAAGAACGACTGGAGGGACGCTGAGGAGAAAAAGCCGGAAGAAAAAGAAAAGGAGGAAGAGGAGGAAGAGAAGCCAAAGCAAGGGAGCCGGGAAGAAAATCAGGTAGAGGTGACGGTGGAAGGCGGAACAACAGGAACAGCGGCCCTGCCGTTGGAAACGGGGCAGCTCAGGGCAGAAGAGCCTAGAACAGAGGGGGAGCGGGAGCAGGGTTCAGACGAGGCCGCCCCCAATGGCGGGATGGAGACGGAAGGGAGGGAGCAAGCAGAGGCAGACAGGGCCAGGCTGGCAGCGGAAGAAAGAGCAAGAGCTAAAGCTGAGCAAGAGCAGAGGGTAGCAGAGGAGCAAGCAAGACTGGAAGCAGAAGAAAGAGCAGCTGCACAAGAGAAAGAAAGGAGGGAGGCGGCCGAGAGGGAGCGGGTTGAGCAAGAGAGAAGAGCAGCGGAGGAGAGGCAGCGGGCAAAGGCAGAGGAAGAGGAGAAAGCTAAGGTAGAAGAGCAGAAGCTTCGGCAGCTAGAAGAGAACAGAAGAGAAATGCAAGAGAAAAGGCACAAAGGGGAAAAGGTAGACGAGAAAATGGAAGGGAAATGGGTAAACGAAAAGAAAGTACAAGAAGATAAACTCCAGACAGCTGTGCAAAAGAAACAGGTACAGTAAGCATTTTGCACCAAATGTGTGATGCCTGTGATTTATGAGAAATGTAATGCACATCAGACTTGGGACCCAGGCACGATGCTGCAGCCCCACGTGCTTGCTTGTTTGGCAAGCTGTTCATTTTTTTGGGCCATAGCAATATGCAAGCATGAAGCAATCGATCGATGGCTAAATATTCAATCAACCAAATTTACTGGGACAGCCAGAGAGAAATTAATTGCTCTGTGCTTGCTTGTTATGAATACCAGAAAAATGAATTAACCCAAAGATGATAAATGTAGCAGTGCTGTGTTGACTTGTAATTCTGCACCTGCATCTAAATTCATTCCTTTTGACAGCTTATCTCTAGCCATGGGTCTACATGAGGCAAGAGGACCATAACTCCTCCCTTTATCCATATGTTTGGCATTTAATTAAAAATTATAGAAGTTGGGATGGGATAATGACATGAAGAATCATGGTCAGAAATTTCATCTTAAGAAGGCAAAAGTAACCCCCTTGAAATAAGCTGGTAATAAAGGAGGTAAAGAAGCCAGTTTGGACCTTTCATTAAGTATGTCAAAACCATGATTTGCCATCATGTAGACCTGAGCTTAATGCAGACTTGCAGAAAGCCATTCAGCTGGGTTGGCATCAATTTATAACTGACTGGTAATTAAGAGCATACATTTTGCTGCTTTTACCATCAGGATGACACAAATAAACTTATGTAGCCTGAGAAAGGTGGAAATGAGGGGGAGGAGGTGGTTGCAAGCTGTGAAAGATTTTTTTTCTGTCTGCAAGCCTGCATTAAAAGCACTCTACCTAACCACGACCTCCATCCCTACCCTCCCCCAACAAAAAGAAAAAGAAAGAAAGAGATGCTTGCATACTCACCTTTGCATAGAGAACTCTCTATCACTGAGTCTGCATTGTGCTGAAGTTGTCTTTCACTCCTGCTTGTTACAAGGGGCTCATGACCACAGCTACATTTGAGACCCATCAGAAACAAAATGCACCAAACCACACACAAGTTTTGTAAACATGCACAAAGAACCACCACGTCACGCTAGATTTCAGGGAGCACAATGGCAGGCACGTGAGAATCCCACGTTGCTGTTTAGAATCACTGGCACCCAGGGTTATGTGAGCACTGAGTCAGCAAAATCCTAAGCCACATGCAAAGTGACCTGAGCACCCTCTCACTCTTGTAAGCTAGAAAGGGCTTCTTTTAAACGAGTGACCTTGCCACTCTTGAAAATAAAAAGGAAGAAGAAAAGGGGGCCAAAGCACAAGCTAAAAGAGAAAAGTCCCAAGAAGAAAAGCCTACCTTCAAAAAAGAGGTAAATATTACTGAAAAATAACCTAATCATAAAGCAACAGAGAGCAGTGTTCCATGACATTTCAGGTCTGCTGATCTCAAAATTATTACCTCTGATCCAGTGTTTGTCAAGCCATGACTTGACTTCATGATTCATTGAATGGTGAAATTAACTTAGAGCATCTCAAAAGTAGTTAAATATGTCAATGGACGTTTTAAGACATGAAATTGAATAGAAGACATCAGAGGGCATCGTAAGCAGTATTACATTGTGATAGAAATTGTCCTGGCTGTGGGTCACAGAAAGCTTGAAAAACACTGCTCGGATCCATTTTTCCCGCTTTCTCCTCTTCTAAGTGCTATTTTTTTCCTCCTTGGACCATCCTACTTTCAGTTGGCTTTGATTAATGATTTAGCTTTCCAAAGGAAAAACCCTCCCCCACATCTCAGTAGAAAATTCGATGAACTGAAGATGGTATTTGGTTTTCAAAAGAAAAGTTTGGCAAAATGTTCTGCATTGCATTTCTGAGGCACACACAGGAGCTGGTACCAGGGTGTTTGACTGTAGGTAAGTAAGCGAGTCAGTGGAACAGGGCCAGGTGTAGAGAGAATGTAATCATGCCCCACGTGACCAAAACGCCACATCAGAAAGCCTGGCCTCGTTTTAACCATTGTACTTACATTAGCTCCAAGTAATCCTAAAAACTGTGACAATATCGCCTAAGTTCAAAGTGCTTAAACATGGTAAAACTGAATTATCAAAGGTAGGAAGATTTGGATTACTTTGCGCATGGGACTGAATCAGAGCTGTTGAGGGCCAGCTCAGATGGACTCCTGCTGCACGTCTCTGCCCATTATGGCACATATTAAGAAACAGAAAAATCCATATTTAGAAAATGAGGTAACCAGATTAAGCAGGGGGATGGTTATTTTCTTAAATGCTTTTTCATAAGATTCGCAGAAAAAAGTTAAGAACCCCTAGATCGTGTGCTGTTTATTTTGGTTAAGATGTATGTACCTTCCTGTTTCTAACAGAACTTGAGGGTGTTTGGGAGTAAATACTGAATGCAAACACCGCCCATTTAAAGGAAGGTGGAAGCATAAATGCTAAGAACTAGAAAGCTGAATTTGGTTCAAATGAGGCAGCTAAGGAAATGGTTGAATATTGTTGGGAATGCACAGAATAGAACATCTACAGATTCATCTAAAAAACTGAAAGTTACTGGGAGCTAAACTCAAACAGGAATGTCCCACTTGGGCTCTTTGATAAAGCTGATGTTTGGTGGTGAATAGCTTTCCAGAAGGAAGAGGGCATGAAGTCCTAACTCAGTGGGGGAGGGGAAGCTGAAAGAGCACTGTTTGGATTCTGTATTTAAAATGTAATTGACTTCCCTAAGATGTCATTTTTTTTTAAGTTTTTTTTTTTATTTATTTGACAGAGAGAGAGAGAGAGCACAAGTAGGCAGAGTGGCAGCCAGAGGGAGAGGGAGCCCGCTGCGCAGGGAGCCCGATGCAGAATTCGATCCCAGGAACCTGGGATCATGACCTGAACCGAAGGCAGCCGCTTAACTGACTGAGCCACCCAGTCGCCCCGTGATTTGTTTTTAATGACACAAACATTCTGTGTCTTTATATTGTGCCGCTGAGCAAGGAAGGGCTCGTGAGTGGTCACCCAAATCATCCTTCTGCCTCTTTTCAGAGAAGGCCCCAGTCCCAACAATATCGGTGGATATCAGACCTGCTCCTTTCCCAGTTTGCTCTGCATCCCCTTCTGGAGTCCCAAAACTTTTGGCCTCTTTTTTTACACAAGGCCAGATTAGCCACTCAACCCAGGCTCAAAAAAAAAAAGAAAAAAAAAATCTGGCATTCCTGCTTTAACATTGCATACGTAAATTACTAGTTGAATGACTAGATTTCCCCCCTCCAGCTAGTTGTGTGGTTACTTTATATAAACAACTTTGAATCATATTTTACATGATTTAGCCATTTCCAACACCTTCCTCCTTTTTTCCCCCCCCTTTTTGTTAAAAAACAACAAAAAAAATTTCCTTTCAAGGAGCTAAACAGGATCGGTCAACCACAAGTAAACACAAACATCACGTGAGACTTCTTAGAGAAAACATTTCCAGACGTTGCTCCAATACCTCAGGAAAAAACTCTCTTTCTCCCCCTGCAGCCCTGCAGTTTTTAACTGTTTGTAGTGATGGATCACAGAACATCACCAACCTTGAAACTTAGCTTTCTTTTTCTCCTCTCCAATTATAAAACGCCTCTTTTTAGTTCTTCACCCCAGGTTGTTTTTTGTTTCCTGGCCTCTAACAGAAAATCTGTTTCCAGCAGGGTTGTTCATATAATATTGGAACTGATATTCATATCATGTACCAAAGTTTCCCAAACATGGGCGTGCATATAAATCACCTGGAATCTTACGAAATGCAGAATCTGACTCAGTGGGTCTGGGTGGAGCTTACCAGTGAGGTCCGTGTTATTTGCAGACCAAACTTTCAGTAGCAAAGACATCCATGTGGCAGACATTGGACCCAGAAAAGGAACTGAGGCTCCTGAGTCTAACAGAAATGTGTCAAACCTAATGTGAAATGTAACTTGCATCAGTTCTTGTGACTCTCCTGAAATCAAATAATGCAAAGCATTACTCTACAGAAACTGACAGCTCAGTCTTTTTGACTTGCGCACTTGACCTTTTGAGGGTCTCTCTGGCATCAGGATGTGTCACTTGAATTCCCACCCCCCCATACACCCATGTGTTAGCCCATTGGATACCCCAAATATCCAGAGTTTTATCCAAATGTCACATTTGACCAGAGCCTCTCATATGCTAATATTATCTGAATGTGAAGCACATTAACTCTTCAGGATACTTAGCCACCTATGAACCCATCACAGATTTTCTTCACTGTGACATTCTGACCTAGCAGATCAAATGCTTTTCCCTCAGAATCTCATGAGTTTAGGTTGAATCCATCAAATCTATTCCACTATGCTCCTTAAAATTTAAAGGCACTATGGAATGAATGAATGAATGAATGAATGAATTTATTTTCCAGAAAAGAAAATTATTTGCAAACTCAAATCATTATTTCACTGAGAATTTTTCTAAGAGAGTCTTCCAAAGAGAATATAAGCATACCATCCTCTATAACCTTCGCCAATGAAGGCAGAGCTGGAAAAAAAGGGGGGCGGGATTTTTCTTCTCTTAGACATGTATTGTTTTAAAAACCTACTTTATACACATTTTTGGTGAATGAGTCAGATAATGCATTTTGGGAGAATGGAAATCTCTCTGACTCCAAAATAGGAGAAATGAGTTAAAGGGAATTTCTCTTTGCGTGGTGCTCCACAAACCATGAGATTTGACTCAGAATGTGTTTTGTGGGTTCCCTGAAATAGGACCCCCCTCCCCCTAAATTTGCATCCCCAGATACTTCTTAACCAGGAGACAAACCCCAGTCCCTGGTATCTGGGGCAATATCCAGCAATGAGGGTCAGGACGAGAACAGGCATTTCCTGCTCCTGCCTGCCTGGTGAACACCACCGGGAGCTGTAGTCAAGCTGTAGGACTGGCCAGAGCTTCCTTCTCTTCTCTCTAGCCTTTCACGACAAATCAGGAGCCAAGACGGAAATGACAAGATGAAGGGTGAGGAAGGAATCCTCTGGTCCAACCTCTCTTCTAATGTATGTAGAGCCAACCTCCCTGAGAAATCAGGTGACTTCATTTTAGCTAGTCTGTTGACAGCACTGGAGCAAAAACTCAGCCTCTCTGACTTCCAGACAAAGCTCTCAGAGAGAATGGCAAAACAACAGCTCCCCTTTTTAAAGCATGTCCAAGGAATAGCCTTGGAGAAAGATTGAAGTCTTAACTAATTAGGGCAACATGGTAGTGAATAGTCCATCTGTGGTAATTTAATCAAATAACATCCAAAGAAGGCAGTCAGGCAAAGGACTACTCAAGGCTCATCGGTAAAGAGAAAAAAAAGTACTGTGCTTAGTACGACATGCACTTTAGGAGTAAGTGTTCAGAGGGTATCAGAGGAATAGCTGGAAAGAGATGAGTGATCAGATAAGGGAGGCCAGCCTGGGTACCTGAAGGCCCAATTTCTTATGCCTACTCTTCCTCTGTTGCTTGCTTTAGAACGTAAGTGTCTTGTCACTGGTTATGTTGAAAAGAGCAATAATGAATCTCTCCTGTTCTCACACTCATTCTTAAAGAATGGGTGAGCTGATACAGGTAATCTCAACCCCCTAACAAGCTATGTAAATTTCACTTTACTTTGAAATAATGTGTCTCATTTACTGTGAGGACCTTGTAATACAAAACTCACAAAAATTAAAGCTAACACCCGCTCTCCATATATCACCTTCCTCTGTCTTCCCAACCATCACAAAACCACCTCTGGTTTCCTATTCCATTCGAACTATAGTGGTTTAGATGACTACAGACATGGTCCCACAGGTCTGAGTCGTCTCCCTAAAGGTAGGGTTATTATGTCTTCTATCCTCAGACCCTAGTTACTCATTTGATTAAAATACAAGGGTGGGCTTCCTCTGCCATCTGCCAAAATTGGCTTGGCAGATCTGGTGGGTTTCCTTGGTAGGTTTCCTTTTTCCCTCCTCAACACATTTGGGTTCTTTTCAAAGACACAGTCTTCATCCAAGAAAAAACCCGTCCAACCAACCCGGACATTCTCCCATCAATGCCACACTAATGATCGCTCTTTTCAGTGGGAACTACAAAGAGCTGCTCTTACATGGAATTCCCAGAATACAATAGTTTCCAAACAGTAACACCTCCACTGCTCTTGAAAACAAAACCCCAGTGAAATCAGGGATGATCTTGGTTTCCTAAAATTGTGGTCTAGGTTTTTGCACAGAGGCTGGAGGACCATAGCTCATGCTCTAAGAATTTCCTCTGACTCCAGCTCTACCACATCATTCTCCAGTGGTTGGTTTTACTTCTGAGTTTTCTGGCTTAATAATTCTGGGTCTTATTTGGTGATACCAACCAAAACCTAATGGGATTTTTATCATTATGTTTCTTCCTGATGTGTACTGTTGGTTAGATCAAAGATGAGAAGATTAAAAAGGACAAAGAGCCCAAAGAAGTGAAGAGCTTCTTGGATGGGAAGAAGGGATTTACAGAAGTGAAGTCACAGAATGGAGAATTCCTGACCCACAAACTTAAACACACCGAGAATACTTTCAGGTAAGAAACAGAGACTACTTAACAATGACTGTGTTCACATGTGAAGAAAAAAATAATAATCAGCCTCCCTATCCTGTGCCTCCAGACAGAAACGTGCTAAACAGGCAACATATTTCTGTTGTGAAGTCATTGGCCATTGTCTCAAAGATCCTCAGTCAGCAGGTCAGGCTATCAATCACTAACAGAAGACAGGCAGTCATTGCTCAGACAAGATTTAATCTGCTTTTCCCATTATTTAGCAAAGCAGATCATGCTTAGGATCCATGTTTTTGTTCCCTGACTTAATATGCTCACGTAAGATCAGTTCAGTAGAAAACATTATGACTGGGGTTAGTATCATGGATTCTCTATATAGTCCAGCCAGTTTCCTAAGAGAGACTTTTCAGTATCATTTTCAAGAATGTATTATTTTAAAGATTATAAATAAATGTTGCTTAAAACTGAGATTGCCCTGTGGCCAAATACTTGGGAAATGCTGGGTTGAACTAAGTTAATTAGCTCTCTTTACTGTAGGACTTTGAGAGCACTTGATGTTAATTTGCACTGGGAATCTCAAAGAGGGAGGAATAGGGCAGGGCCCTAGTGCTCCATTTAATACCCTTTGGAGAACCCTTTTGCATAGCTTCAGCTTTCCCTCCTCCCCCCCCCCGCCCCCCCCCCATGGTGCTGAATACCTGGACAGTTGATTTTAGGACAGATAGACAAGTACGTACAGGTAAATCCTTACTTCTAGATACACTGAATAGTGAGAGCGCCCCACCAGTTCTGTAGGACTCAAGTTACAGAAGCCTGCCATGGACACCTGGCCACAAGATTCTTTGTGCCCCAGTCCTACACATACGCTCCCTCCAACCACTGGTGCCACATTCCTACCTCTGTTATGTCACTGGCTGGTGTGCCAGATGTCCTGGAACGTGGATTCCCATGGGGTTGTTTTGGCAGCAGTCTTGCCTGTGGACCCTGTTTTTCTCAACAGTTCAAATAAGGAAGTTCCCAAGAGCAGGTATTGTGTGGAAGTCGGATGTATTCCTTACACCAAAGCCGTTGTGGCATTCAGAAGCAAGGAGAGCTACTAGGGCTCTGCTCCTCTAAGCAGGATAAAATGGGGACATTTAATTGCCCCCCAAACAACTTCTCTATGCAAAAATTTGAGCAGAAAGGTAATCACATTTATCCAAGGGGAAGCCTACGGAAGAAAATGTGTGCAGAAAATGCCCAAGTAAACTGTGAAGGAGGATGCATAGATCCTATAGATGTTACTTGGGATTGGCAAGAAAGTAGACTTTAAGTAGAACATTAAGAGTTTATTAAGAATTCATAGAAAATCTAGAAATTGAGTTGATTCCGGTCGGTAAGCTGAGTCCAAAGCTTGCTGGAGTGCCAGTCGTTTAATATTTCAAGGCCCTAGAACGGTGTCAGGTTCATGAAAAATATCGAATGAGTATTGCCTAATGATATTACTGTCTTAATATTTGATAGTTTAAAATAGGTTTTGTGGGTATGAGTATATTTTTTGTTAAGAAAAATAATGTTTTTTAAAAATCTGTCAGTAGAAAGAAGTTTCGTTAACAATTAGCAAACTTGCCAACCAGCTTTAGTCCAAACTCAAATTAATAATTAACACACCCATTGTGTAGAAATCCAGAGAGCTGGGAATTCAAAGAGAAAAATCACAAGGATGGCAACAGGTGTAGCACTGAGAATTCTTAAATGTGACTCTGGCCTTAATTTTTCCATCTTTGGGCAGAAAAAAAAATGACAGAAACAAGCAGCCACCATATCATTCGTTTTTGTGTAGCTGCCAACATAGGTTAGTTGTAGTTTCAATTCGAAGTTGATGCCAACAGAAGCAGGGATGCGTGGTTTTGCTGTCTATACTTATAAAGCAAGGAGCTGTATCGAGAAGGGAGTAGGAGCCTCTGTGGAATAGCCAGGTGCCTACTAGCCTAAGTGCAGACAAACTGTGTTCATGGTGAAAGGTCTGATGCTCATCTAGACTTACGCCTAAGGAAGCCAAGGATAGAGGAGAGACCTTCTGGAAGAAATTTCCATATTAGTGTCATCCTAGTGCTGAGGGCATGCCGGTACATCTGAGTAGAGGTGACATGGATAAAACTCTTGCTACTGTTTTGAGCATAGCTCCTCATGTTTAATTACTGCCCCCTTTGATATTTCTGTTTTCTTTTTTTTTAAGATTTTATTTATTTGTCAGAGAGAGAGAGAGAACGCATGCACAAGCAGGGGGAATGGTAGGCAGAGGGAGAAGCAGGCTCCCCGCGGAGCAAGGAGCTCGATGTGGGATCATGACCTGAGCAAAGGCAGATTTCACCAACTGAGCCACCCAGGCATCCCAATATTTCTGTTTTCTGTGATTACATTGTTTTCTCTAAAACATGACAAAAAAAAATCTCAACTCGATGAGCAAGGTATAGAAAAAGCGGATTATACCAAGGGCTTTATAGAAAATACAAAACAGGAATTTCTTTTGCTTTCCATCTATTTTTAATGTGGTAATTAAAGTTTTTTCTAATTATAGGAAAAAAAGATACTCATTATGAAACATTCAGAAAATAGAGCACCCACCACCCAAAGATAACTACCAGTAACATTTTATCCAGATACCTTTTATGTGTATATATTCAAAATAGACATATACAGTATGTATATGTGTGAATATAACTATAAATATATGTTTTTAAATTGATTCTTGCACTATATCATAGCCACCTTTCTGTACCAATGAATATAAGCTTACAATTAATAACGTTAGAGTATTCCACCAGATGGATGTGTCATGATTTATTGAGCCAGTCCCTAATGACAGACATTTTCAGTGTCCAAGATGAAGACTGAGTGACACCTAGTGGAATCCAGAGAAGTTTCTATAGGCATGTGTTCTGCCAGTCTAACTCCTTTACACTAACATGATGAACACAAAGAGAAAGCAAACTCATTTCTGAAGATGGAAAGACTTTGAATTAACACAGAGAGATTTTCTCTCTGGAGTCACAAACCTATGAACTTATAAGACTCTGAAAGAGCAACATCCAAGTTTTAAGGGACCCTCTAACCTTTGTTTAAAAGTTCATCTTTAACTGTCAAGAGCCTAGAACAATATTTTAAAACTTTTTAACCTAAAGTCTTGGCAAGAAATAAATTTTACATCATGTTCACAGCTACATGCATACTTATAACTGAAACAAACATGTCAAGAGATGGTACTTTCCCTTGCTCTATGCAGTGCACTCTGATGTTTTCTGTTTTGTTTTGTTTTAATGCTGATTATAATCCACAATACTGATTTTTCCATCCTGCAGCTTGAAAAGGTTGGAAAGGACATAGTATACTCAGAACTACCTCAATGTTTGAGGGCGCCTGGGTGGCTCAGTTGGTTAAGTGTCTGCCTTTGGCTCAGGTCATGATCTCAGGGTCAGGGTCAGTCCCCTCCTTGGTGGGGAGTCTGCTTCTCCCTCTGCCCCCCTTTTGTGTGCTTGTGCTTGTGCGCACGCTCTCTCTCTCTCAAATAAATAAATAAAATCTTAAAAAAAAAGAACTTCCTCAATGTTTAAAAAGCATGAGATTTTTGCATAAGATCAGTATTGGTAATTATGTAGTCTTGAACTCATTTTCTCTTTTATTCTTTTTTTCTTGTTCCATCACTAGAAACACTGAGCCCTTCTCTGCACCAAGTAAATGATATCAGACAGTGGTAATTCATCTGTTCCTTAGACAGAGTGTTAGGGATGGGCTACCTGTGTTCAGAGCTGGTTGAGCATGACCTCACTGCTTGTTAATAAGTACTTAAGCAGCTAGCAAGCCACATCCTTGTCACTTAGCTAAGGACTATCTGTAACTAGGCACACTTTTGAGGATGCCACTAAATTCTCCCAAAGAAAGTGCCAGGAGGATCCAGCTCACGTGAGTTTTGTTCCAGTGACAACGTAGTGCTCTGCTGCAGTTCTGTCACCACCAACATGTTTTTTATATGATTTATGTAAGAACACTAAGAATACCAGTTCTGAAATAAAATTTTAACATAAGGACCCCTGGGATAGTGTTCTGTCTCTAGTCTTAACATGTTCCCAATTCTACAATAAAATCCCTGTGGGTTCTCCTTAATCCCAAAAGAAAACTTCAACATAATTTCAATTTTATTTCTTTTTTTTTAAGAGTGATTTTCTTTCTTTTTTTTTTTTTTTTAAGAGAGGGAAAGAGGAGGAAGAGAGGGAGAGAGAGAGAATCTTAAGCAGGCTCCATGCCCAGCGTGGAGCCCGGCATGGGACTTGATCTCACAACCCTGAGATTATGAGCTGAGCAGAAACCAAGAGTTAGATGCCTAACCAACTGAGCCACCCAGGCACCCCTAATTTCAATTTTATTTGTAACTTATAAAAAAGTACCCATTTTCTTGCTGTTTTATAAGCTGTGCCATCTGATGAAGCACTGCTTCCACTGAAGCATAGAAGGTAGTTAGGCCTAGACTGTAGAAATTCTAGAGACTTACAGGTGGGAAACATCCCTCCCAGACTCTCTAGTCCTCAAGGTAGGAGGTGAGAGGTAGAGGCTAATATGCTCGATTCAGTTGATTTTTTATGTTATGACAAACCATATTTAACTCCTGATATAATGATAGTACAGTGCAAAGAAGAGTATACTTGGTAGAGAAACACTAAAATCTGATCATGGCTCTACCACTTTCTTGCTACCAAAAGTTTGGGCAGACTCTTTTCTCTCTCGTCCACCACTTCCTAATTTGTAAAATGGTGGTATTAACCTAATCTGCCAACTCCCTAATTATTGTGACTATTAAATGAGATAATAAATATGAAAAGGACATATGAAGCATAAGTAACAATGCTAACCGTACCACATCAGGGCTAATTTAGTAATTTTAAGTCACAATTAGGAATATTCCTGTCGTGATAGACCACGCAAATTGAAGCCTTAAGGTCATGCTGTCATTACGAACTTTCTTGGAGCAGCTGTGTAAGAATGGACACACATTACTGTATTTATAGCTCTTAATCAAGAGGCAAAGGGTAATTTCATCTGCCAGAGATCAGCTGCTAGAGTCAAGTTCAAGACAAGGATGTGGATGAGCAGATTTATTTCAGTGCCTACCCTAGTTTCAGTCGTCTTTTCTTGTCTCTCACGCCTGAGCCTTTAAGTCTTCCCTCCTGATTCATGATTCTAGGCAGATCCAAATTAACCAGTAACTTACAGCAGAGGACTCCTAGGGTCACACCTAGATTTTAGAATTCAGTCTAATAGCATTAACAACTGATATTTATAATATATGTCAACATTTATTTAATATGTAATCTCATGGGATCCAAAGAATAGCCCACTGAGGTAAATAGAACAAATAATATTTGCCCAGTTTTTCCATGTTGTATCATGCATGTCGCGTGGATTTTTTTTTTAATTGTGGTAAAACACATAACATAAAATTTACCATCTTAACCATTTTTAAGTGTACAACTCAGTAGGGTGAAGTACATTCACACTGTTCTGAAACCTCTCCAAACCTGAAACTCTATACCCATTAAACAACTCCCCACCTC